ACCCCGCCGGTACGCGGGAAAGGACGTGAATTATGCGTGCAGGCATATACTTTGCACGACGGCGATGAAAATCGGATGACCCGAGATAACTCATTTTTGTTGAAAAGAAATAATGAACCCCATCTTTGCCTTTCGAATGTTACAATGTCGGTTTCATAGTCTGGACTTTCTGTGGCTGCGTTATGGTATTTTTCTTTTTCCTTGGCCGCAGCGGGTTTTTTTCGTGTGCCACTGTGCATGTGGCACGACGCCCACACAACCTCCGCGTACGCACCATATTTTTGTTTTTTAAATATTGGCTGCCCCTTTTTTCCATCTACCCTTTCCTCCATTGGTATTGCCAGCCGTTCTTTTTATTTTTGTATCATTACTATTTTTCTTTCTGTGCGTCTCTGGTCGTGTGTGCACGCTCGCGTGCCTGTCGTTTTGCTTTTATTTGGTTCACCTCCTATACGCCGCAGAGCTGGTAAATTAATTTTCTTACAGTCCCAGTCGCATTTGGCATGTTGCTGGGCTGGACCTGCCATGGACAGGAGGACAGGCTAGAGCAGGGGGAAGGGTTGGGGTGGAGTGGGGAGGGGAGGTTGGCCGGAGAAAGTCAGCTGCCCCGGTCAGGATAAGCCACACTGCATACAAGGGGCGGTGGGCCGTGTCTGGGCCGGGTGGAAGGGGGGGGCTGGCGTGGGGATATGGAGCACTGTGGATACGGTCGAGGCGGAGGGGTGGTCGGCGGCTGGTAAAAGATAGCTGGGACACAGCTAAAAGAGTAATAATAAAGGGGCTGAGGATGGCGCCGCACGGGAGGCGACACTAGGATGACCGGCGCAGTGGAAGGTGGGGGCTGCGTGTCCGGTCCATATTCTCCAGGACACATCGGTCCCAGGCCAGACAGTGCCAGCTGCAGGGGGGAGAGACCTCGTCTCGTATTTCTATTTTTTAAAAAGTCCTCAACGGCCCAAACAATGTGGAGCTCACATTCTTTCCTTTGCAGTTACCTGCAAGCCCATTCATTTAGCTGTCCGAACATACGTAATTTGATGCCATCAAATCAATCATCGGACACCACTCGCCAAGTAGTGGGTCCGTCGCTGTTAGACCTGCCGCGCCCGCCGGCCAGAAGGCGTCCGACATGCCCTCGGGCAGGACGGTATCATCAGCGATCCTCCTCTGTGTAGTCCTCGTAGAAGCTAGGTGTACTGCGATCAGGGTAAGGCGAATAACGGCCTCGTAAAACGTAACTGGTAGCGAATCTCGCGATCAATTTTTTCTATGACTTCGAAGCGTAGCCTAGGACATGCATATTTGCATAGCTATAAGTGCGAGCCAGAGAGGTTTACTCTGACAATGCGTGCTTTGCAAAACGACAAATTAAAAGAAAAAAGACATTTTCGTGTTGTTTTGATACGTTTATGTTTATCAACAGGGAAACTCTCCTCTTTTCTCGCGACTACTTTCTTTGTTTGATGTGAACGCCACGCACGAGACCCTGTGCGCCTTGGCGCTCATACCTCCCCACCTCCAGCTCGCTGGCAATAATGCTTCCGCCACACACGCACCACGTTTGTACGTGTTTGGTAAAACTGATTGGCTAAGTGAGTTTCTCCAGCGATTCCCGACTGTGGCGTCTGTGTACCTTTTTTCTGGCCGTTACACCACGAGGGTATGCAACGCATTTCAATTTGGATGCAGTTCATCGACTGCCGTGTTTACGATTGCTGTTTTTGTTGTTTACGTTTTTTCTTTCAGTTCTCTGACTTTATCAGGGCGGGCATGATGCCCTCCTACTCCATTGCGCTTGTTCTCGACGACGCTTACGATCCGATGCCGCTCATCCCCTACAGGGTGCGCACCGTCCGCTGGGTGTCGCTAACCTCACAGTTGAATCCGCTGCTGCGCGAGCTTAAGAAGCAGCCCGTCCCGCCTAAAACTTGCCACCGCTACGTTCGCTTCGCGATGACGCTACGGCCGGCCGGGTTGACTCACGTTTACGCCGGAATCTACGTTTGCGACTACAAAAGGCCCACTCGGCTTACACTCGACGCCATGGGCGTTTGGTCCTCCGTCACCGGGTGGTCCTCCCCGGCTGAGACGCTCTTCCCGCCGCCGTGCCTCTCCTGGCAGCCTCCGACGATTGACGAGCGCCCTCTCACCGCAGAGATGTTTGCGTTAGCATCTATGAGATACGACCCCAACAACAAAGCAATGGTGCGTGCAGTTCAGGAGACGGAATCGTATGAGATATTACGAGTGCTGCAAAGGTCCTACGGATTGGCGTTTGACATAGAGCCCGAATTCAGCCGCGACACGTACCATCCAATGAGGTCTGCGGACTGGTGCCGCCTGGATTTGGCATCGTGTCTCGGCACGACCGATCGGATTGACGTGCTCTTGCACTCTGAACTGAGCGTGTTCGCCTGGGAGTTTGACGCGCTGCTGGGCGTGGTGCCGAAGGGCGCGGGCGAGCCCTACCACATGTTCCACTCGCTCACCGTCGAGTTCACCGCCGGGGTGTGGACCGTACTCGGCGCGGCGGTGCTCGTCGTGGCGGCCTGCCTGCACCTCGCGCGTCGGGACGAGAGCGTCGAGCACGCCGTCCTCGTAGCGCTCGCACCTCTTCTGGGACAGCCGTTCGACTCTCGGTGCGGCGCTGGGCCGCTGCGACCTGTGCTCGGGGGCTGGCTGCTGACCTGCGTGGTTGTGGTCGCGGCCTACCAGGGGCAGCTGCTGGGCTACCTGACGGACCCGCCTCGGAACAGAGAGATCAACTCCTGGAAGGACTGGCTCGAGAGTGATCTGTTCTACATCGCTCGCGGTCCCATCCCGATGGACAGCGAATTTCTTTCACAGTGGGGTGTTCCTGGTTTGACACCAGAAAGGTTCCGCTCGGGTTTTACAGACGAGCAAATGTTTGTAGAGACTGCGACACGGAGAGACTGTGGTTTTTTATATGACAAAAATTTGTATGAGTTTGCAGTTACTCGGTTGTCGAAAAATATTTCGTCACGCCTCAACGTTTTCACGAGGTTAGAAGAGTTTAGTCTACAGACTTGCTTTTTCACAACAAAGGGCTCGCCATTCGAAGTTCCTCTACGAAAACTTTTGGGGCGAATGTGGGCGGCAGGTCTGCAAAATAAAATGAATGCTAGTAGAAAACGCCAAATTTACCATAACAGGGAAAATCTGACGCTTAGTAGAGTAACACGAATTTCTTCTTCCAATTTAGCGCCAGTGTTATGGATATATGCAGTAGGCAACCTTTTGTCCTTTGTGAGTTTTAGTGTGGAGGCAAATGTTTTTAAATACCCACAGGCGGGAGCACTTATGCACATATAAATAGCCTCACAAAAATTGAAACTGTTACAGTTTATCTTTTATTAGGGAATCGTAGTTTTCGTGTTAAATGTTGAATTCGTTATAAAGTGTGCTATACTATTACTTCAATATAACATGAAACCAGAACCCTAATGGAATTCAGTCCAGAACTCTAATGGGAATCAGTCTGAAGTATAGCAGAGATTGTCTAATCCATACACATTAAACCAAGTGGTCAACTGCCTGACCGTTCCTTCCTACCTGATGGGTGTCAGATTCATCGATTTCTCCGCAATGGCGCCGTTCGCCGTCTTGGCTGTGGTCAGAGGGCGTCGAACATGCCGAGGCAACACGCAGTTCCAACTGTAGTACTGCTCTGCTTAGTCTTAACAGAAGTCAGGTGCAGTGTGGGCACGGTAAGACAGCCTAAGTAAACTGCTGCAAAACGGCCTTTTGCTACAAAGAGAAAGGCTACACATTCATGGTTCATCATGTATTACGTTCGTAGGGTATAACCTGCGTGTCTGCGAGATTCTCACAATGCCTTTAAATTTTAGGTGAACCTAAGTCGTTTCTTAAGGAAAGGTCTCTCCTTCGACATGAACGACACGCCCGAGGCATCGTGCGCCCTGGCACTCCTTCCCCCCAACTTCCAACCGGGCGACCATGATTCATATTCGCCCAGGCTGTACGTGTTTGGTAAAACTGTCTGGCTGAATGAATTTCTCCGCCGGTTCCCGAAAGTAGCTTCGGTTTACCTGTTCGACGGTAGTGCGGCCTGGGAGGTACGTGTAGTACAACTTCAACTGTACTTTCCTTGTGCTTGAGCCTGCATCTCTGTTATTCCAGTTCGCAGATTTCGTCCTGACTGGTATGCTGCCCTCCTCGTCCGTTGCGCTTGTGCTCGACCAATCTGAACAACTCCTCCATATCCCTTACCGGGTGCGCGTTCTCTACTGGGAGGCCTCGGTCGCAGACACGCAGTTGGAGAGCGAGGTGCGTTCCTTGAACGCGCGCTACTACCCGCCGGGTGCGTGCCACCGCTTCGTCCGCATCATGGTCACGACCCACCCGGCCGGCGCGACGCACGTCTTCTCCCTTCATCTTGCCTGCGACATGTTCAAGTCTCCCGCAGCCACGCTTGAGCCGTTGGGCACTTGGTCGCCCGGGACGGGTTGGTCGACGCCGACCTCGGCGATCTTTCCAGAGGCCTGCGTCTCTTGGCGGCCGCCGCCCGACGGGCAGCCTCTCACTGCGGTGATGATGTCTGTACAGGATGAAGTGCATGGTGACCTCCAGGAACAGCCCTTTAAGCTCGGAGAGGGTTACAATGTACTGCGAGTTTTGCGAAACTCCTACGGTCCAGCATTTGAATTTAAATTTAATGTTACTCGAAATCCGTACTACCCGTTGAGGGCTGCAGACACCTGCCGTCTTGATGTCGTGGCGTGTTCAATTAGTTCTAACCCAGGTTTTAAGATAACAGTTGCCTTACACAGCCAGCTAAGCGTGTTTGCTTGGGGATTGCACGATCTTATATTCGTGGTCCCTGCTGGTGCGGGCAAACCATATCACGCGTTGCACTCTATAACGGCCGAGTTCGCTCCTGCAGTGTGGTCTGCTGTTGGGGCATCGACGCTGGTCGTGGCCGCGTGTTTTTACCTGACGCGCGGTCAGCAGAGCTTTCAGAACGTTTTTCTCCTCACCTTCGCTCCTCTGCTGGGACAGCCGCTGAGCTTTCAGAGCGTGCGTACGCGAACAATCCTCGGGGGCTGGATGCTGACCTGTTTCGTTGTGGTGGCGGGCTATCAGGGAAAGCTCCTGAGCTTCTTGAGAAATCCCCTCAGGAATCGAGAAATCAACTCCTGGCAGGACTGGCTCGAGAGTGACTTGAAGTTAATAAACCAGGGGCCATATGGTGTACTGGAGACCGAATACTTGTCGTTAATCGGTGCCGATGGCCTAACAAGCGATAGGTTCCGCTTCGGCTTCTCTTACTGGGACATGTTAAGTATAACTGCAAATGGGAAGAAGACTAGCTTTTTCTCCGACAAGGCTGATTTCGACATGGTTTTTAACTATGTCCCAAAAGATGTTACGAACAATCTGCACGTTTTCCCGATGGCGGCTGGTTACAGCCTTTCCTCTTGTTTTGTCACTACCAATGGCTCCCCGATAGAAAAGCCTCTAAGAAAGCTTTTGGGGCGTTTGCGCGCTGCGGGTATTCATGATAAATATCGTACGATTGTCCACCGTACAACCAATGTTACTACGGAGGGAAAACCCATTACCAAATACAATTTGCAGCCTGTAATGATGGTCTATTTGACTGGAAACTTGGTGGCATTAATTTCTTTTTTTCTAGAGCTTTTTACTTGATGTAATATTCTTATAATTATTTTGCACATTTCTTTACATCTAAAATAAAGGCAATGTCCCGGTCTGACGCATGATTACGCCGGAAATGCCCACTCGGCTTTCTCTCCATCCAGTGGGCGAATCAACCTGAATTGAAGCAGATATGGTCTTATCCGTAAACCAAGTGGTCAACCCTTCTATCAACTATTTGATCGAACCTTTGAAATTTTATCATTATTTTCTATTAAAAATACGCAAGAAAGCACAGGTGCATTTCTTTACAAGTTGTGTGCAAAAAAGTTCACATCACTTTTTTTGGTGTTCATAGTACAAACAAGGCAGAGTGTATTGCCCATAGTACACACATTTAAGTGCGTCGTCTTCGATTTGCTGTCAGGTCGCATCGATTTTGCCGCTTTTGCGCCGTTCGCTGCCTTGGTTGTGGGCAGAGGGCGCCGAACATGCCGCGGCAACAGGCACTGCCAATAGTATTAATGTTCTGCTTAGTCTTTTCAGAAGTCAGGAGCAATGCAGCCGCGGTAAGACAGAGGCAAAGTGCACGGCTGCGGAACAGTCGTTTGCTGCAGGAGATTGGTTCTTGTTGAGTTATATTCTAGGATATAATCTACTAGACCGAGATTCACAGGGTGCATTTTGTTTTTAGGCGAACTTGAGGCGATCCTTGGAGAAAGGTCCATCCTCTGACATGAGCGACACGCCCGAGACCTCGTGCGCCTTGGCGCTCATCCCCCCAAACTTCCAACTGGGTAGCCATGATGCATATACGCCCAAGTTGTACGTGTTTGGCCAAACTGTTTGGCTGGATGAATTTCTCCGTCGGTTCCCGAAAGTAGCTTCGGTGTACCTGTTCGAAGGTCGTGCGGCCTGGAAGGTATGTGTAAAACTGAACTCGAACCGAGCCGCATCACTAAAAAGAGAAGTGTGAATGTGGCATATGGTGGGCGTTCTTAGGTGTTGGATTGTAAATTCGAATACGTAAAAGTGTCCAACATTCCAAACCCTGTCATTAAGCAAAATTAAGTGTTCATCTTTACTATAATACAGTTTTTTCCTATTGAAATATTGTGTGCTTCACTTAAAAGTGTGCAACGTATTGTTAAACACTTGCGTGTGTTCGTCAGTTGCACGCTTTATTTATCAGTGCGTTGCTGTCTTTCCAGTTCTCAGATTTCGTTCTGACTGGGATGCTGCCGTCCTCCTCTGTCGCGCTCGTCCTCGGCCGGTTCGACCCCCTCCTCTGTATTCCCTACCGGGTGCGTATCCTCTACTGGTGGCCGCCGGTCGCGGAGTCCCAGCTGGAGTCCGAGGTGCATTCCTTGAAGGTGCAACCTTATTTGCCGGGTACCTGCCATCGCTTCATCCGCATCATGATAACGACTCACCCTGACGGCGCGACGCACGTCTTCGCCCTGCACATTACCTGCGACATGTATGATATCCCGAAGGCCACGCTCGAGCCAATGGGTGCTTGGTCGGCGCAGGCAGGTTGGTCGACGCTGACCTCGGCGATCTTTCCAGAGGCCTGCGTCACCTGGCGGCCGCCGCCTGACGGGCAGCCTCTCACTGCGGAGATGCTCTCTCTGGCGCCCGAACAGTATAACGAGAGTAGTGCCGGGCTCTTCCAGATTGGGGAGTCGTACCAGATACTGCGAGATTTGCAAGACTTGTATGGTGCAGTATTTGAATTTAAATTCAATTACACTCGAGATCTGTTTGGCCCAATAAGGGCTGCAGACACCTGTCGCCTAGATTTGACAGCATGCTCTGTTGGTTCTAGTACAGGTTTTAAGATAACAGTTGCCTTACACAGCCAGCTAAGCGTGTTTGCTTGGGGATTGCACGATCTTATATTCGTAGTTCCTGCAGGTGCGGGCAAGCCATATCACGCGTTGCACTCTATAACGGCCGAGCTCACCCCTGCAGTGTGGTCTGCCGTTGGGGCGTCGACGATGGCCGTGGCCGCGTTCTTGTACCTGACGCACGGTGAGCGGTGCTACCAGGGCGCACTCCTGCTGACTCTCGCTCCGCTGCTGACGCAGCCGCTCAGCTTTCAGAGTGTGCGCCCGCGAGCAGTCTTTGGAGGATGGATGCTGACTTGTGTCGTGGTGGTGGCGGCCTATCAAGGGAAGCTACTGAGCTTCTTGAGGGACCCGATCAGGAATCGAGAGATTGACTCCTGGCAGGACTGGCTCGAGACTGACTTGTCACTCATGAGTAACGGCCCCTTTGGTCAGCAGGACACGGATTACCTCTCGTTGATCGGCGCCACTGGTTTGTCACACGATAGGTTCCGTTTCGGCTTCAGCGACTGGGAGATGTTAAGTGCAACTGCATATGGGAAGAACGGTAGCTTTTTCTTTGACAAAAGCCAATTTGACGGTCTTTTAAGCTACTTCCCAGGAGCTTTTATGAGACAGCTGCACACTTTTCCGTTTGCAACTAGTTTTAGCATTTATTCTTGTTTTCTTACTTCTTACGGTTCTCCCGTAGAAGGCCCACTGCGAAAGCTCTTAGGGCGCATGCGGGCGGCTGGCCTGCATCGCAAGTATCGGCGGATTGCTTTCCCTTTAGGCAATCAGGAGAGGAAACCTATCACCACATACAATTTGAAGCCTGTATTGTGGATCTATTTGGCTGGAAACTTAGTTGCATTATTTGCTTTTACTGTAGAGATGTTCATTTATGTACGTACCTAATATTAACTGGCCTCCACATTTCTTTACAGCTAAAATGAACGCTAAGCACGAGACTAGTTATCTTATTTTGTACTCGAATAAAATCAATAAAATGAACCTACAGGATTCCTTTCGGTTTTTTATTGGGATCGGCAGCATAAATTTACGCCCAACCTGTTTCACTTATCGAAGGATTCCAAGTCGATACATAGTAAGTGTCACAATTTTTTAAGTTGAAATTGTAACGACACCATTCCTCGTGAAATAATTTCCCGCGTGAGACTTACGCATTACTTTTCAACACTGAGCAAGTATTGTCCCCGTCTGACCTGGCGTGATCAGTTTGTTGTCTTGTGTTGGCGTCCCGCCCCATATGCGTTATTCCGCCAAGATGTGCGCATTGCATGTTCTACCTCATATTTCTTAAAATTAACCGTTCTGGAAGGTGCCATCGTACTACTATAACATTGTATTTTTTAATAAAAAGCATATATTTCACTTAGTTTTGTTTATCAGGTCAGACTAAAACACTTAATTTGTTCAGAATCTGTCATGAAATATGTGCACATAATCGGCGGAATCACCCAAATACACACATACATCAAAGGGTGTGTGTTTGAGTGTGTATGTGAGTGCGGGTGTGCGTGTGTGTGTGTGTGTGTGTGTGCAACGCTTTCCCACTGGAATGCCATGATGAGTCATTCCTGAGGAGCTGCTCCCACCCCGACGGAGGAATGCCTAACACAGACCGTTCGCCTATACAATTACTGGCGCGCTCCCCGCCCGCCGCTCTCCCCATACTTTCCCTGCCACAAATGTGTTCACACAGACACACACACACACACACACACACACACACAGTCGCACACCGACGTGTGACTAAACGGCTTGACCCGAGCAAGTATCGGATTCCTACTAAGCGGACTAAACAGAGAACACTTTGGCTGCTTGTTTCAATATCTGCGACGATGAGATGTTGTGTTTTTATCGAACTCGCGCGCTCTTACGAGTACTGTGAGGGTGGTGTTAACGCCCCCTCTCCTTTCCCTCACTACTTCTTTTTCCTTGCCTTCTCCTACCTCTAGGCCAGAGCAGCGCGCGCTATCCCTTGCCGGTGCAGCGCTGCCGGGGCCGTGTAGGGGAAGAGTTCTGACTTAACAAGACATGTTCCTCCAACAGCCCCTCCTGCGCTACGCTCGGGTAGGCCCCGCCCGGCCCTGCGGAGCGTACACGGAGGGCCACACCCCTCGCGCGAAGAAATGAGCTCCGCGCTTGGCTCCTTGTACCCTGTTTAGCGTCGCTGGGACGCCTCTATGGTAAATGTTGGGCCATGATGGAATAACCTTGTGTAGGAGAGGGGTGCTGGCATCTGATTACATGGGCACGCGTATACCCCTTTTGCACGGCTCAAATTTAGGGTCAACAAATTGAAAATTTCCCTTGATTTGTTGTAATGTGAAATGTAAAAACGCGCGCGTCTCGTGTGTTTTTTTTTTTTTTTCCTAGAGTTCTTTACTTTACCGAGCGGTGGCATCCCAGTTTTATCACTTTGAGGAAGCTTTCCTAAAGTACCGCCTCATTAATA